TTAGTACTATTTTGACAAATTTATTTATTTTTAAAAATTACAAATATCAATTAAATTAATTATAAATTTAATAGGCTTAATAATAGTGGCATGTCTGCACCCAATCTCCACCAAGATGAACTGTAAGAACAGTGTAGTAAATAATTTTCGAGAGGGAAAGTACGAAAACACAATACAAACACAACACGCACACACCCAACTCTCGAAATCTCGTTTCTCGGTCCATCGTTCGCGAATATCAAGGAAAATTATTCTTCTTTCCGGTTTTGCCCCATTTTTTATTTTTATTTTTTTTTAATTTTCATTTTATTTAATTAACTATTAAACAGTAGATTTCCTTTTTATGCTATACTATTTATATTTATTTATTTTTTCCTCTTAGCTTCCTCGAGGGAGCGATTTCAAAAATCTCCAAAAAGCTGTTTTTTAATGGATGCTTCGATTTATGCTACCTCCATTTCCAGAGAAATCTCATAGGTATACATCCCGTGTAAGCGAATTGTTTATTCCTTTATTAAAAAAACTGACTTTTAACTCTTTTTTTTCTTCTTCCTTAGTTAATCACTGCGTGATTACTGATGAATATTGTCACCATTGATTCCATTTCTTCAAATGAAATCATATGATCTTCCATTTCTGTTGATGGGTTTTTTTTTTTAGAAAAAAAAAATCTCTTGGGACGCAGTGAGAGCTGTTTTCAACCCTTAAATTGTTGCAAAATTTTGGGTTAAAGTTTTAATTTTGCTGTTAAATTTTGGATTTTGATTCAATGGGGAAGACAAGGTTCATTGGATTAAGGTTGGGATCCATGTGGGATCTCTTGGGTTTTGGTATTTTGGTTCAGTTAAACTGATCTTGGATTTTGTGTTCTGTGTTTTGTTTTTGCATTTGCTTTTAGTCCTTTTAGGGGCTTGCTTGTTTTGAGGGAATTTGGAATCCCTGCACGTTGGATGGGGCTTTAAAAGTTGTTCCTTTGAGGTGTGGTTTTTCATGGGTTGAACTCAAGAAATAATGGGTAGCCTCAGTGAAGAAGAATTTCGATTTTTTGATGCCACTCAAGACATTGCGTCAACGTCTTGTGCAAATGCTAATGACATTGAGATATTTGATCCGGAATCTGCTACTGTGAGTGGTTCCCAATACGACGTATGGATCCGTAGCCCAGGAAATGTTAAGGAGAGGCGCAGTAAATTTTTCGATTTGATGGGGCTGAGTTTAGACGAAATTGTTCCTCGTGATTTGGTGGATGAGAGCTGTGTGGAAGGAGAGCTTGATAGGATGAGAGATACTGGTGGTGCTGTTCTGAGAACATCTGGGTTTGAGGAAGAGTTTTCTTCATGTCGATCTTCACTGAGTTTATCTAATGAAAGTTTTGATTTGTCTGAGGAATTGAGTTTGAAAGAGAAATTTGTGAGCAAAGAAGAAAATTCAGGTGGGGGAGCAGCATGCAATGTGGATGAGTTGGGGCAGGATGGGAGGATGAGTGAAGTTTGTGAGATGAGTTCAGAGCAGTGGGCAACGGGTGAAGAGTCTGAGACTACTTCTTCATCATCTACCTTATACAAACAACTTAGGGAGAAGGAAGATGACGAGCAGAATAAATCGGAGGGAGTAGCAAAGAGAATTAAGAACAGGTGGTTGAATAAATTACGTTCATTAGCATGTGTTGTGGATAATCAAGGGAAAGCTGATAGATTGATAGCCCAAGCTGATGGTGATGATGCAAGTTTGGGGACTAGGGTTCAGAGAGTTAAGGTCCGCCAGTCTAGAAAGCGGTTGAAAGAACTTTCTGCACTTTATAAGTCACAAGATATCCAGGCCCATGAGGGTTCAATTTTGACAATGAAGTTCAGTCCTGATGGGCAGTACCTTGCAAGTTCTGGTGAAGATGGTGTTGTTCGAGTGTGGCAAGTGGTGGAGAATGAGAGTTGCAACGACCCTGACATTCCTGAGATAGATCCTTCATGCATTTACTTTACAGTGAATCATCAATCTCAATTGAAACCCCGCTTCATGGACAAGGAGAAGGTGGGTCATATGAGGAGTCTAAGAAAAACTTCTGATTCAGCTTGTGTCATTTTCCCTCCCAAAGTGTTCCGGATATTGGAGAAGCCATTGCATGAGTTCCGTGGACACAGTGGTGAGGTCTTGGATCTCTCATGGTCAAAAAACAATGTAAGTTACTAGTTATAATAACAGCAAAGCTTCCATATATCATCCAAAAAGGAAAAAGGAAAAGGAAGTTTTCCATTCAATTAAATTAAGCTTCTTATTAATCATTATCTTTGCCTGTGTTGCAGTATTTGCTATCTTCTTCGGAAGATAAAACTGTTCGTCTGTGGCAATTAGGTTCTGATCAGTGCCTCAGAGTCTTTTCTCATAATAATTACGGTAAGCTTCTGGTTGTTTCTGTTTTTTATTTTTTATTTTTTTATTTTTTTTCCTCTCTTATGATGTGTTTAAGTATCAGTAGGTTCTATACATTTTTGTTAATAATCTTGGCCTCGCTGGTCTGTTAGGAACTACCTCTCACAAACTTTTCTTTACCTTGTGCAGTGACTTGTGTTCAGTTTAACCCTGTGGATGATAATTTCTTCATAAGTGGTTCAATAGATGGAAAAGTTCGCATCTGGGCAATTTCTACTTGCCAGGTTGTTGATTGGACAGACATAAGAGATATAGTCACTGCAGTCTGTTATTGGCCTGATGGACAGGTCTGATGATTTTCTTGTGCTTTTATATTTTGGAGATAGCTATAGGGAGCTATGCTTATTATTGAGGTTCTTGAATTTGGATGTGAAAAATTATATATCCATTGATGCAGGGAGGGATTGTTGGCTCCATGACAGGCACTTGCCGCTTTTACAATATGTTAGGTATCCATAGACCTCATTTCTTCATTTTCTTTCTGTGTGTAACTACCTAATATGCTAGTTGTACGATGCCTATTAGATTGATCTTAAAATTCATTTGATTCAAGTTCTTGGTATTTTTATGGGTGTTATATCATGACCAAGTGGGATTTCCTGTTGCATGGTTGCGATTGGGTTTTTGGCAATTTTTTCCCTAATCAATTGATGGTTCCTGGCTGTCAGTTAATGGATATCTCATATCTTTGTAGCTCAGTAGTTGATAAATTCCTAGGAGACTTTTGTTTTTATTTCAAAGGATCATTACTGGTTTATTTCCAGCAGACCTGCTCACAGTAGAAGTTTGTGGTTTATGAAACACAGTTTTCTGGTAGGATTGCTTTAGCAGTGAAAATAATGTGAATGGCAATATGAAACAAATCTAATGGTTTTGATTCTTTTGAATTCCTTCTGAAAGTGATATAGTGGGCATAGGGCTTTAGAGAAAATGTTCCTACCATTAGAAGGCCTTAACATTGGATGGATTCTGATTCTAAATAAGCTTTTATTTTTTTGTTCAGATAACAACTTGCAACTGGATGCTGAAATATGCTTAAGCAGTAAAAAGAAGTCAGTTTGTAGAAGAATAACTGGTTTGCAGGTAATTACTCTCCTCCCATGCTCAATTGCTGCCTTTGTGATTGTATTCTTGCGTTTTATATTTAGTTAATGCACTCTGTACTTATCATGTTACTTTCTCCAGTTTTCCCCTCAAGATTCAAGCAAAGTAATGGTTACTTGTGCTGATTCACAAGTCAGAATTCTTCAAGGGCTTAATGTTATTGGCAAATACAAGGGTATTTCCTGTTTCCTTTAAAATTTTGATCTCATAAATCTTTTTGTTATAACTGCAATGTGTAAGCAAGGGCATACTTCAATTACTTTTCATGTGGAATCCATCTTGTGAAACCCTGATCGGAAGAAATGTTAGCATAGCAAACTATATGCTGTTTCCATCTTTTTTTCTTAATCTTATAGTTTATGAATCTCCTGATCTCAAAGTTAAGTTTTGTTTTCTTATCCTCCTAATATAAGTTTCTGAGTTGGTCTGTTTTTCCATCTTCAGGTGTATATAATAATGTTGGAAATCAGACATCTGCATCATTCACTTCAGATGGGAAGCACATTGTTTCAGCTTGTGAGGATTCCAATGTATACATGTGGAATTTTGTTGCTCAGGAAAATGTTGCTCTCCCCAAGGCTAAAAGCATCAAGTCTTATGAGCGGTTTTCCACTAATGCATCCATTGCAATTCCTTGGTGTGGCTTGAAATCTGGAAATTCAGAAAATGGAAGGCAATTTCAAGTACTGCATGATAATTTATCAGAAAGTCAGCCATATTCTTCACCTGCTTATTTCTCTCTGAGCCAGGAATACATTTTGGAGTCTTTTCCCAAGGGAGCTGCAACTTGGCCTGAGGAAAAGCTACCTCCATCAAGTCCATTATCCATGTCATCGGCAATGCATAAATCCCATTACAAGTTTCTGAAAACATCATGCCAGAGTACATCCAGTTCCCATGCATGGGGTCTTGTAATTGTGACAGCAGGGTGGGATGGACGGATTAGATCATTCCACAATTATGGTTTGCCAGTAGCTGTTTGAAATTCTAGTTTCTTGGTGGAAGGCATCTTCCTTTGGTTGGGCACTTTTAGCGCCAACTTTGGTTGACTAGGTACTGCAGGCCCAATGCTCTATAATTGGCTGACAAGTGACTTTGCTTTTGGAAGCACAAACTGCCACATGAAGTTCAGATTCCAGTGCTTTAGCAGGTGCTTGCAGCTTAGAAGGCAATTGAGAATGTATATCTGGTTTTCCAAGGGCCTGTCTGAGATTTCAGAGGTGGTCTATATCCAAATTAGGCCACCACTAGTGGTAGCAGCATGTTCATTACAGTGTAATCCATTTTGAAACAAGCAAGTGGTTGGCATTATAGCTAATCTCAGCACCCAGCTTAATTATGATTGATTTATTACTCGAAAAATTGTCTTCCAGCCCAAGAAAGGTTATACAAGTCACATGTTTGGGGAGGGTTGGAGGAGCAATGAGGTGTTGCATCCTATGCTGGAGCTGCTTGTGGGGCCTTGTAGAACTTCTTCTTTTGTTATCTCAAGTATTAGCAGGAATCTGGAGCTGGTGGTTGCAATTTACTTAGGGGAGAAAATGGTGGGGAACTTCACCATTTTCAGATGTTTGGCAGCATTGAATGATTGAATTGCTTGTCCGCCATTTCGGGTATGTATC